TGGGTTCATGAATGGTCCACTCCAATGCCAGCACTAAAATTATATGGGGGCGTTCATTCTGGCATTAGTTGAATGCCCAGCTAACTAGTTCAGAGATTCTTGTAAGACCGTTTTCTGAACGGGCAGGATACAATTTTTTTGAATGGGTTTCTAATGGGTTCATGAATGCTCAATTTTTTTGCTGGGTTGAGACCACATCCCAAAGTCAATTTTTTTTCTGGTCCCTTGAAATTCCACTTATAAAGGTTATTCAACTGTACCAAAATGGGGTCAAATCAAAAAAAGAAGCATCAGGTGTGTTTAATTTTCTCTTCAATTCTTGACAATATTCACCAACTTCCCCTTGTTACATTTTCTCACTGAATTACTAACCCATTTTAAACAAGGGAATTCAGTATTTCTTTGCGTGGTCAAAATAATACATAAAAGAAACAAGGAATATTGTTCATTTTTCATGGGCGGTGAAAATCAGGAAAATTGCAATCGCAAAATTAAAAAACCCCCATATCGCTTATTAAAAAGCTCCACAAACACATTTAAATTACCTGATGCGAAGACAATAACGATCTTATGAAAATTCAACAGAGAGAAAAACATACTTTCTCAAACATGGAGCGATTGGAAGTCTTGTAGGTCTTCCAGTTATTGTACACGTATTTCTGGGCCAGTTTGCGGGCCAGGTCGTTCGCTTCCTGGTTCGGGGCCAGCCGAAGTCCTTCCACCAATGTGTGCTGAACAGGAGACCAGGCATTCGGAAAGTCCCACTATGAAGGAGAAAAAAAAATTTATTTTTCCAGCATCTCATTAATGAAGAACAGAAGTTGGGTGTTTGCTCTTGTGTTATCAACTCACCTGCTCATCACTGTTCACCAGCGAAGTTGGAACTCCGCCTTTGTAGTCCAATGCCCCCTGAGTCCAGAGATAGTCCATGACCCGTTTCGCCACCTGCGATTGGTCCTGACCCCCTTCAACCCCATAGACCCCGGTCCAAAGGGGATGCACGTTTGAAATATAAAACGCCTTTCTTCTCTCCTATATATAAACACAATACGGAAGAATGGTAAAAACAAAAATGTTTACTGAAATTCCTTTTCATCGAACTCCCGGAGCCTTTATAAAAGCCGTTTTATAATTTAAGGAAAAATTCTTCAAAACAAAATCATGGTTCAGCTTTCAGCATGTTAGACAGACATTTTTTTCAGAAACAGGTAACAGACTTCAAAAACAGATAGGTGAATAACCAACTGAATTTCCAACTTCTTTTGATCAAATAATGGAGCAATTCCGAAAGATTACTTTATTTCAGGCCTTCCCTTCATATAAATTCTCTAAAAATATACCGACTTTATACTGAAGCATCAGCTAAAACCATTAGAAAATGGATGTGGATGATGATCATTTACCGATTAAGAGCTGCAGATGTTCCTTGAAATAGGGCAATGTCCTTCCAAAACATACTTTTTGTTCAAAAAATTGTCATTTATGAAAAAAAGAAGCTGCAAATTTTTTATTTGAGCTTCATACATCCTGCAATACTACATTCTCCACGCAAAAAGAGTCGATTTCATATTTTAGATGGGTTTCCAATTATATGCGCTATAGTTGGGTTTTCCCATATTGTGCAGATCAGTAAAAATTTTGGATCATGCACAAATAATGACGGACTAATTCGTTATACTGAGATCAGGGAGAAAATTTGGTTAGCTATAACAAAATTTTATAACATTTTCCAGCGAGGTGAAGAAACTGCTGGGACCAATGAGAATTCGTTATATACNTCAGCGTATCTTTCGGCCTTGGCTGTCCTTCCCAGCTTCTCATTCAGCTTGGCCAGCAACGCAGCATTGTAAGACATCAGACTGTTCAAGTCTACGGGTGCTACATTCCTGATCTTCGTGTCAGTCAAGTTTGCTGCGGAAGAGGGATTAAAATGAATTTTCACTTTCCCAAGCAGAAGAATCGCAGGAAGTATGAAATCAATCATGAATCAAGAGTTATCTTGATTTTGGCATGGACCCCCACTGCCTTTTGCCTTCTGTCTCAAGCATTTCTCTCATTTTTTAAAGACTTTCCACTAAAGCTGCTCCATTGGTTCTTGACTCAAGTTTTGAAAAAAGAGAAACATTTTAAATAACTGGCATAAATTCTTTCAAGCAAAAAATTCTTGAGTCTGCAAAAATTGTATGAAGTTTTGTAGGTCTACTAAAAAATTATTGGAAATTTGCTGGTCTGCGGGCCCAAAAAATGGTCAGGGAATACTGCAGTGCTGCACTAGCCTGTAGAAAAGTCCTGGTAATGCCATATTTGATATAAAAGAATCCTCCAACGTTGAAGGGCTGGAGAACAGCAAGTCATTGCCAACTTATTTGAACAAAGTTTTCCTATACTGTACACATGTTGAAACTCTCTACGCCAAATTTCAAGGGACCAGCAAAAAATTTGACTAGGGGAGGTTTTGACTTAAAGAGGTTTTGAGTTTGATGAAATTGAGGTTTTGAGTTTTATAAAATTGAGGTTTTGAGTTTTATAAAATTGAGGTTTTGAGTTTTATAAAATTATAATGTTTTACCTATAGAAACAAGCATTTTTATTATGGGAAACATTGAAGAATTGCACTAAATTGTACATTGTGACATTCTGGGCCTCAAGTTGTTTCTAAAATGAGTTGACTGGGCTCTGAACTTGGAGACAGGGGTTCATTTGCCTAATTTAATCTGTCACATTCTGTCAAACCACATCAAATTCCATTTTTCATTGCTTTTTTCTGTTCCAATGAAATAATAACCGAAAGGCCTCAAAAATTCAACTTAAGGAGTTTTTAGAGGAAAAGTGTTCAAGTTATGGAGGTTTTTAATGCATTACTTCTAAACAAACTCAGACAGGGCCTAAAAAATTGGCTTAGGGAGGCATTTCACTTATAGGGAGGTTTGACTTAGCGCTGTTCAACTGCATGCATTATTTTCAACATTGTACAGGTTCACAAAATTCACCCTAATACATTGCCAGGTCAAGGTAAAATTTCAAGGCATTAAAATAGCAAGACAATGTAAAATTCAATGTTTTCCACATCACAATTTGAAATTTTGAGTCTCTCTGCTGGTTGAATTGCGGGGCAATAGGTCAAATTGCAAGTTATTGATGTCCTAGCAAATTTGACCATCTAAATGCAGGACAGACTTATTGCTGGACATCAAATTGCAGGGTAACACGTGTATTTTCACAAACAATTGGCATTGCAAAAGAGTATTATTTACAAGTTTGAGCAATTATTTCAGCAGGTTTCAGAGGGTGGCATCAAGAAATTCTTCAAGAACTGCTCTCTTCACCCCCACCCCTTCCCCAGACAACAGATTCGCCTGCAGCAAATTCGACCCCTCGTCTCTGCTGTTCACGGCCCCCAACCAACCAAATCGTGGATCCCGATCTTATCATCATCACCATCATCATCAATGATGATTAGATCATCATGGCGGGGGTACGCGTGGAAACAAACCTCCAACGTGGCCGAAATGGTCGAACCAGCGGGTGCTGAAGTCCCAGCCAGACTCGCAAGCAGACTTGATTTCGGCGTAGAACTCTTGCCTTTCGCCGTCCGTCCCGAACACCGTGGCCCATTCCTTGTCTTCTCTGTAGGACTCGGGACGAGGGCCTCCCACAGACACGTTGTACACCGTCACCAGGT